GCTGTCAGAGGGGGCATAGACAGGGTTGGGGAGGGTTGGGGGAAGTGCCCGGGATGGAGAGTGACTTGCTTGGCCAGTCTGGAAGGTGCAGAGCTGGTGGTGACAACAAGCAAAAGTAGTCCCTTCCTTCCCCCAAAGATTGCATTTTGAGAGAAAAGTCCTGGCATTGAAATGCCTGCGTATTTTGGCTCTTTTTGCACATAAATCCTGAAACCATCCAGACTTGCTTGCTTGTCTCCTCTGAGACTGACTGGGAGAGGGTGAGAAAGGGGGCAAAAAGGTGGTTTTGCCCATGATGCTGGAGAGATTTAGAGAGCAGTTTCAGTCTATTTATTGCAGGGTTGCCTTCTCTGTGCCTATAGGACCTGGTACCTGGCTGGCTGGGATACTGTAATGACCTGGGTGTGAGGGCAGGGGAAGGTAATTGAGTGGCCTTGGGTGGAGCAGGGCAGTGCCCAGGATTGTTTAATAGACTTCAAACACAGACCTTCTGTCTTCTCCCTCCAGCCACCATGCCTATCACTCGGATGCGAATGAGACCCTGGCTAGAGATGCAGATTAATTCCAATCAAATTCCAGGGCTGATCTGGATTAATAAAGTGAGTGTTACTCTGGGTATTTCTGGCGCTGTTTTCACCCATGTCCTCTTGGGGACCAAAGTTTCATTAGTGGAAATGAGAGAGCAGGAAGATGTATTTCCCAGTGGGTGCTGCATGCCAGGACTTTCCAGGTCTGACTTTATGCCTTCTGCTTCTTCTTCCTTCCTGAAGCTGGGGCGAGCCTATCCTCCTAGAGGCACAGTTCTCAGCACCAAGACTCCCAGCATCTGCAGAGCAAGTGAGAGAAACTTGCTGTACGTGTAACATCCTACATGGCTCCAGTTGTATAGACAGATGATGCTGGGCAGGAGCATGACTGGCTCTGCAGGGGACCCAGTTACTGTGGCCCAAGAAGCCATAACTGGTACACATGGCAGCCTAGACTACGCAGATTTAGCAACAATACTAGCATTGGTAACAATAATTACTGTGGTTGGGTACCCTTCTAAATATGTTACCAATGTTGTGTATTTTAGTCTTCATAGTCATCCCATGAGATGGGTCTCAGATAAGGAAACTGGGGTAGATTACAGGATCACACACAAAGTATGAAAGCCAAGACTGAACTCCAACAAACTTGACTGAATGTCTATATTGTTGGTGATGGCTCAGCAGGCAAAGCCTGACAGCCTGACTTTGATCCCCACATCCCTTGTGATTGGAGAGACAACTGCTCTAGGTTGTCCTCTGACCTCCACAAAAGTGCCCTACCCCTGCAAATAACCCTGACACTTACACACAGATTTAAAAAGAAAACAAAAAACCCCCAAAATCTGTATCATTGTGGCTGTTGTCTCCATACATACTCTTTTTTTTTTATTATTAAAAAACAAACTCCCCCTGTGGTGCACGCCTTTAGTCCCAGCACTTGGAAGGCAGAGGCAGTCAGATCTCTGTGAGTTCGAGGTCTGCCTGGTCTATAAGAACAGCCACCAAAGCCACAGAGAAACCCTGTCTTGGGAAAACAAACAAACAAACAACAAACTCCCACCCCAATACACATAAGAAAACTTTTCTCTCTCCTTGAGGTATGTCTTATTTAAGAGGACATAGGCCAGCATTACACGGCTGTCAGCATCCATGTCTGGCCTCGGGCTCCCTGGTGACATGACCCAGGACCCTGTATAGGAGTCAGTGGCTCCAGTTGTCTTGAGTAGACACTAATGCAGGAAGCTCTTCTGCTCCCATTGTTCTGAGCCAGAGAAAAGCATAAGAGACCTGCCAAGCCAGGACTGAGAGAGGGTGCCCCTTTGGGCTCTTAGCACACCTGCAGCAGGTGGGTAGGGCGGGGGTGTCATTGCCCAGCTTCTTGTGCTGTGGCTTATCAGAACCCAGACCCCCCCTGACAGGTGCAGAATGGCCTGTTTAAGGCAGTCAGGATGGGTCAGTCCAAGCCAGATGTTGGGGTGAAAAGGGGAAGTCAGTCTTTTCCCATACTTGGGGGCTGGGTATACTCAGCCACAAATCCTGTGGTCTCCAAGCTGACACAGTCCTATGTGTGCACTATTCAGGAAGAGATGATCTTCCAGATCCCATGGAAGCATGCTGCCAAGCACGGCTGGGACATCAACAAGGATGCCTGTCTGTTCCGGAGCTGGGCCATTCACACAGGTGTGCAGGGTGGTGGGGCAGAGAAAAGAGCAGGGGAGGCTATTACCATGGAGGCTTTGGGTAGCTTTGAGCTCCTCGACACAGCATGCAGAATTATTGGAGCAGGGGTTGAGGTGTCCCTGTGTTTCCCTAGGATGGGATCCATTGTTTTAGCAAGTTCCCAGAGGATTTATAAAGGTGAAAATCTTAGAAAGCATGCCTTCAGGGAGTCTGTAGCTAGAATACAGTTGTTCCTGGCAAAGAGAGTTGTGAGTCAGGCTACCAAAGGAAACTTTCATCTTCCTTTCTCAAGGTACGGACTAGGGGCCTTGGCCCAAGCCTCATCTGGGTGGTGGCCTCCTTTCGGCTTTTAGGAATCAGGTTCTTGGTCCAATTAGGACCTGTTAGTAAATGTCCTTGTTGCCCACTCTGTACACATGTGTTCTTTGGAAACGTCAGATAAGCCTCTGTATTAGCCGTCTCTGGCTGCTGATAGTGTGAGCAGGGAGACTGTTATAACCGAAGACAGTGAGCACATTTTGGAATAAAGGCATTCAACTGAGCCCTTCACATGCCTGCTGGATGTCTGAGCCAGCCTTGGGCATGAGCCCCCCTGGGGGGGGTTATTGCCAGTGGTTTTTGCTAGTTTCACTAGTATGGGTGTCTGGGGTACACCTAGTCCAGGGAGCAGCTGATGGATGCATTTACTCTCCCTTTCTGTAGGCCGATACAAAATAGGGGAAAAAGAACCAGATCCCAAGACGTGGAAGGCAAATTTCCGTTGTGCCATGAACTCCCTGCCAGACATTGAGGAAGTGAAGGACCAGAGCAGGAACAAGGGCAGCTCGGCTGTACGAGTGTACCGGATGCTGCCACCCCTCACTAAGAACCAGAGGAAAGGTAACCAAGGGCACTGGGTCCTCAGAAGGAAGGGAAGAAGGGTGGAAGGAAGATCGGCTAGGGCTCATGGCCTGTTTGCCCCACAGAGAGAAAAACCAAGCCCAGCCGAGACACTAAGAGCAAGGCCAAGAGGAAGGTGAGTGTGGCTCTGTGTGGCCCAGCCTTTGGTCACCTTAGGTAGGGTGGGCAGTGAAGAGCACTGCAACAGGCCTAAGCTGTCTTCTCTCCACAGCTATACGGAGATGCTAGTCCTGACACCTCCGATGGACTCAGCAGCTCCACTCTGCCTGATGACCACAGCAGCTATACCACTCAGAGCTACCTGGGTCAGGACTTGGACTTGGAGCAGGACCTTACCCCAGGTGAGGATGCCAATCTGGCAAGAGAGCTCATAGGTTGGGTCCAAGAGGCACTGTGGTAGCAGAGAGTAGCCTGTTAGAGCAGGTTGCAGGGTGGAGGTGCCGATTTATGGCAGATTAAGAAAGCATGCCATCAGCCAGGTGGTGGTGGAGTATGCCTTTAATCTCAGCACTTGGGTGGCATAGGCAGGCAGATCTCTATGAGTTCAAGGCCAGCCTGGTCTCCAGAGCCAGTGCCAGAATAGGCTCCAAAGCTACACAGAGAAACCCTGTCTCGAAAAACCAGAAGAAAAAAAAAAAGAAAGCAAGCATGCCATCCTGACCTGTGCTTTGTACCCTCCTGTAGCTCTGTCACCATGTGTTGTCAGCAGCAGTCTCCCTGAGTGGCACATGCAGATGGACATTGTGCCAGACAGTACCAACGATCTGTA